TCCTCCCCTTGGTGTATTTCTACTATATGTCAATGTATTCAGCTTGTCCTATTTTTAGGGAGAAATTAAAGAGAAACAGTGGTGTATAAGCTCTCGGTGTACATAAAAGCTGTAAGTGATAATCATCACTTATAGTTACTTAGTTATTTAGTGCCTCGAAATGATACCTACTACGATTAGCAAGTGAGCAGTTTACCCTGGTGGCCCAGTGATTAGAATGCAGTATTGCAGGCTAATTTTGTTGACTGCCTGCCGCCTGCCATCAGTTCGAGTCCCATCCTCCCAAGGCCGACTCGGCCTTCAATCCTTCCAAGGTCAGTAAAATGAGGACCCAAATTGTTGGGGGCAAAGAGGCTGACTTTGTAAACTGCCCAGATAATGCCATAAACTAAAGCACTGTGAAGCGGTATAGAAGTCCAAGTGCTATTGCTATTACCTCTTGGGCTCCAGCTGAGCAGCCACGAGCCTTGCTCCGGGCCAGTTCTCATCTTTGCCACTATGGTAGGTGATTGTAATGTCTACGTGATTGAAGAGGTAGAAGGTGTTCTTCTTGTTGAACTCATCCTGAAAGATATTAAGACGCCATGAAATATCTCTAAACCTGGAGGGGGGGAAGATAGCAACAGGCACAGCCAATGCTGTTGGCCATACCAAATTTATAAACAAAGGGACGGACCCAGATACACTAAAAAAAAAATTGCTGATTTACAAAGAGTAAGGATTACATAAATTTCCAACCAGTTTTCCAGATGGAGCCCATTCCCGAAGAACAAAGAATTGGACGAAACAAAGATGGATAGGACTGTTTGGGGCTCATGTAAGTTTGCAATAGCTCATTTGTGCATATATCTGTATGCATTTACTTTGGGGGTTGGGATAAAAATCCACTTTTGAATATGGTATGTCATCCTTCCCTTTGCAATTTGCAAATATCTTGTTTTAAAACTTGCCTTTCTGCGTGCCCGTTTGTTGGCTACAAAACAGCATCCGAATATTCCCAAAATGCCCTGCGTTGAAGGATTGTTTGTTTTCTGAAATGAATTCAAGCTTGGGTAGCCTTTCTCAACCTTGACCCTTTTTAAACTTCAACTCCCAGAATTCTACTACCACCACCATGCATATAAATTTCAGTCCATGACATGGGATCGTGGTAAGCATCTGTCTAACATACGACACCTGCCTTGCGGCATCGGCAACAGCCCCTTGGAAATCTGCTAGGCCAAGGGGTCGGCAACCTGCGGCTCTGGAGCCGCATGTGGCTCTTTCATCCTTGAGAGATGAAAGTACTTGAGGCACTTGAGAGACCGCCTGCTGCCAATTACCTCCAACAGACCTATTAGATCCCACAGACTAGGCCTCCTCCGAATTCCATCTACCGGCCAATGCCGATTGGCTACCACCCGGAGGAGGGCCTTCTCTGTGGCTGCTCCGGCCCTCTGGAACGAGCTCCCGTGGAGATTCGGACCCTCACCACCCTTCAG